TTAAAAATCCAAGTATTATCGTATTGTAAGAAAACTCCTATTACCTTCAAAAAAAAATATTTATTATAATAATATAAACTAATAACTATAGTGACCCTTACACCGATAAACTATATGTTTCATAAAAATAATAATACATATATTACCTACTTTGTACAATTTATTACACTTTTATAAATTTTATTATTATCATATTTTATGAAAATAAGAAAATAACATATACACATTTTTTTTTTTAACACATAATATACTATAATATACCCATTTATTTATTTATTTATTTTTTTTATTAGAAATAAGCCTCGGCAGCGGTGGCCATTGGCTGACATTGTTTATATTGTTTTTACATAATTTTTACATAGGTAGTTTTGTTTTTACATATTAATTTATATTATTTGTTTAAAATAAATTTTCGATTTCAGTTTCTTTTATGAAGTTTAGTGTCTGTTTGATGGCTGATACGTTTGGGCCTAATGATTGGTATAGAAATYCTGGGATGTTGTGTTTGGTTCTTGCATCTTCTGTTTGTCTGCATTCGACGAGTATATGTTTGATAGTCAAGTGAACTATATCCACAATTAGTATTCCCTATGGCAGTAAAACTAATATTTTTTAATCAACAAGTAATAATATCAAAGGTGTTTTTAGTATATTGGTAGGTACTTTTATAAAGACAATATTTGTTTTACCATCTATCTCCATCCTTAAAAACTTCGGCTACAAGATTGTTAATGTTACTTTTCAACTATTTATATAAAAATAAATATTGAATTTACATTTTTGAAATTATTTCTTAGATGATCATTGATATAATAATTCTAATTCCACGTTCCACTTTTCAGTCGGCTAGTGTCGAAACTATTGAAATGAAACGAGTGTCCAACATTCACACTAGTAATTGTTCCATATCCGAGCTTTCTATCGTTTTCTTTAACTGTAATAATTTATTGTATTAACTTCGCAAAAAAAAAAAAATACTTTAACAACACAATAATACTTATAATCATAAATTAATAATATTATAATTATTTAAATAACAGGAATTTATTGATTTCCCGTTTGGTAATCTATTGGTTGGTATAAATTCTAGTTATTGATGTCGTCTRATAAAATATTTCWTGAAACTTTTATAATATAAAGTACTAAGTTAGGAATTTCATCATTTTTTTCACCAAATATTCTTTTCTTATGCATGATATTTTTTAATCAAATTTTTGAAAGTTTTGCGTACTTTATACTCTACAGATCATTTTCATATGACAATTTATTTTCGTATTTTTTTTTCGTTGGAAATTTAAAAATTTCAAATTGTGTTCTGTATTTAATTTGTTGTATAATATAAGTACTATAGATACCTGCAATTAGGTATTAATTTGCAAAAACTATCCAGTCTATATSAATTTACATAAAATCACGCGCAATAATGAAAACTTAATCATATGATAAATAATAATGTTAATGATTTCATTTAAAAATCTTGCTATGTAAATGAAATATGATTGCMAAAAATGTATGATACGAGTTAGATATCGGATTAATAAGGAAATAAATGTAATCAGTTCTCACGTTTCATAATCATAATACTATTAAATAGTGACTATTCGTATCTGGTTACTAATATTCCATTATAATCAAACGACTTTAATAATTTTATTATTATCAAATGATTGGTGGATTTTATCATCAAAAACACGTTTAAAATTATTTAGCCCTTCACTTACAGTAAAATTGATGTTGATAAAAGGTACATTTAAATATGTTTTAGTATGAAATTCCTTTATTTTAT